AGTGCGGCGTCTTGTTGGGTATTTGAGCTGTCTGTACACCTGAAGATGCAAGAAGGGGAGTTGTTCTGTTTGATTGATTATTTGAATTAAATAAGGACTTCGTTGAAAGAAACGGAAGTCTCTCTCTCGGTGTGAATTGAATATGTTATTTTCGTATATTGATTTAATTCTTCTGTCAGCCTGAGCGATTGTGGTGTATATACACCCCTATCTCCCTCTTCGATGCTAAGCAGGATGTACATATAGGCTCGTGCATGCATGCAGTAATATTATTATTATTATCCACTTAGGCTCCTGTATGCATGCAGTAATATTATTACCAGGAGCAAGATGTTGCAGTTGACGTATTTATAAAGAAACCCGCTTAAACCAAGGAAGGAAGCATGGAATTCCTTATCTATATTCTATAATATATATGCATAAATATATATGTATGTATATATATATATACATTATATATATTGCGTAAATACCGTTATTACAGCACATTCTTGAGGTGGGGCTGCATCTCGTCACTTGTTGAGTTGAACTCTTTTTCTTTTCTGGAACTTTTGTCGTTCATTTTGTTCATTTTTTACTCTCATTGAATAATTAATTAAATAAGAGCAATTTAGGGGCGCGGGGAGACGAGAAGGAATTAGTAACGGTTTTAATCAGTACTAGGGCGTCATGCACACACCATTATTATTACTATAATTAATTATTATTTATTATTATCATTAATTATTATTATGGTAGTTATTAGTTGAAGCGATCAAATTGGCAATAGCGTACACTTTGCTGCAACTAAGGCTGCTGCTACACTCTTTGAGTGTAGGAACAGCCTCAATTGCATAGCTGCGGCGTCATACCAGTGCAGCAAAAGTTTGAAATATTAGGGGGGAAGCAGGGAAGAAATTCACCAAGTGGAAACAAAAGAATAAATAAGTGAAATGCTGCAACTGCATCAGTAAATATATCGCTCAGATCTTCGGCTGTCTCTACTCAGGACAGCCTTCTCAGCCCCCTGTATAGTATTATTGTTTTATCTTCATCGTATTACACACGTATTATTATCATTTTTATTGGTACTATTACAATTAATTAATAATAAAATAGACATAATTATTGTTTATTGCTGTCTTCAGCATGCTAATGAAGATAATCCTGCTAGATTGTTTGTTCATTAGGGTCCTCCTTGTCGGGGCCCCCAGGGGCCCCTGGTGAGATATAAGGTTTTTCAGACAACCGCTGCGGTGCGGTGCTGAGCTGCATGTACACCTGAATGTTGATTTGCTTGCGCCATGAATTCTCCTCTTTATTTTGATGGTAATGTAGGCGATTGGTTTCTGCAGAGTTTGTCTTATGATATATCTCAGCCTCTTCTTAGATGGGCTACAGGTGGTAAGAAACTAACTACGAAGTAATACTAAATAATTCAAATAAATGCACAACACCCATACAATCTTATTAAAATAAAGACATACTTTGCATTGAATATACAGAAAAGACATATTTTTCATTGCATTTAAAATTAAGACTTTTTTCATTGAATGCATGCTGTGCTTGCCTCTCTTTTCATCGGTGTTCTGGTTGTTACTGCGCCATTATATATGAATATAAATATAAATAAATATATATAATTAATTTTCTGTTGTGCTTTTTGTTTAATTTAATCGACAGGCCAGCGGCTGCACCATGGTGATATTATTTGCATTAGAGGAGACACAGGGAGTGGCAAGACATTGCTTTTAACTGTAGGCGAATAATGAAGACTTAAACCCTATAATGCAATAGAAGACAGACAGAAAGACAGAAATATAACTCTATTATTTTCTCGAAGAGCGACCAGACAGTAGTCTTCTTAGTGCAACAGCAATAGACCGCACAACGACAGTATTAGTGCAGATGTTGTTTAATGAAGAGGTTTTCTGCTTTATTTCTTGTGATTGCTTGTGCTGTACGTACACCAGCAAACTCTTGCAGAATTTCTGCTGCCTCCATGGGCCGGTGGTGCTGGCGCTGAATGTCTTTTAATATTGGGGAATGACGGTGTTTCTCCTTGCTTCCTGAAGGAGCAACTTATTGCGGCTTTTGCTGCAAAGACAAATGCTGTACGAATGCACGCATGCAGTTGCGGTGTATAGGGAGCTCTAGCGCTAATGCAATCTGTATATACTTCTCCATCAAAATGATGTTTGCTTCTTCGTAGGCCCAGCAACACCCGCAAGAAAAAGAAGCAAAAGAAATCCGCGTTGTACAAGAGAGTCTCGCGTACGCTAACATTAAAAAGAATTATTCGAATGTCTGTGTGCAATGCTAATGTGTGTTCGGCGGTATATATATATATATACATATATACTGTATAGGATATATATATATATATATGTATATATATAATGTAAGCATGAATGCTTCAGAATATACATATATGTATGGATATTTATAGGTATATAATGAGGCATTCTATGTATATTTTAGCGTATTTTTTTCTTACTTTCTGCTTACAGGAATCTCCACGTCGTTTCAATCTCCACTGTTCAACAGCTGCAGGAATTCATTTCTTCGTTGGCTAAACTCCTGACGGGCGTTTTACGGTGTTGCCGCGTCTTTCTTTTTGATGATCTTGACCTCGGTAAGAAAGTAATGAATTATCTTAGTGCGATTCATGCAGAAAATTGTTGCTTTCCCCTCTGTAGCTTTCAAATACAATGCAAGTGCAAGCAGGAGAGGCGGCTGTACCCTAGACGTTTCCTTGCGGTTGCGGCGTCTCTTGGAGATTATTTCTTGATTCAGCTTTTATTCATAAGTCAGTAGTTTAATGTTTTAAACTAAGATTACCGCTCTATTCAAGGGAATCCGAAGCTTAGTGCAACTTGAAAACCGCACAAACTGCGGTGTACAGGCAACTCCGGATGGCGTGCGTTTCTTTTTTGAAGTCGCGAGTTTCCGAGTAAATGTTCCGTTTGTTCATGGATAAAATGCAGCAGCTTCACTCCTTCTAGCTTTTATTTTGTCGTATTTCTTCAGGCATTGCATCGGCGCCCCCATTCGCCTCTCAGATTCCTCAACTGACTGACGCCGTGCACTCTTTGTTGCAGGCTGTTTCGCAGCACCGACTGTTGATGATATATACACTCAACAAACGCGCGGGACCCCGAACTCAGCCCTCAGCGTGGAGACCCGGCACTGCATCCGGAACAGCAGGCTTTACAGAAACAAGGCGTGAGAACCCGCCCCAGCAGCCGCTGCAGCACTTGTGCACTGGCACACTGCATGCGCAGCAGCAACTTTTAGGGGCCAGGAGCGACGCCCGAGTATTAGGGAGAGCTAAGCAAGCAGCAAGCCTGACGCAGTCTACGTGCCAGACAGACATCTGGAGGTCCCCGCGGCGCTTCGTTTTGCATTTATTCGGCCCATCCCTCGAACAGCAACAGCAACTGCAGCAACTGCA